GCCGCGGCTGGGGCCCAGCCACTTCTTCCCTTTCAGCCCCTGCCGGGGTGAGCTGCTCCAAATGCCCCAACACCCGCCCACGCAGGGTCCGGTCCCGGCACTACCCCCCATCAGCCTGTGTCTGAGAGGCTTTCCCTCCTTCGCATGCCCTAAGGTCAGAAAGGGGAAGGGGGCCTGAAACCAGGTCTGACCTACATGAGGGTCCCCTGCAGGAACCACCCCGTCCTATGGAGACTCTGGTACTTGCATGGGGCCTGCAACAGCCCCTGCCCTCCCTGTGCCTGGTGCCTTGGAAGCCAGCAGGCCCGGCAGTGACCTGAGCGGATAAACGTGCGAGGCCATTTCTTACCTGGATTCCTGGGGGGTGTCTGCATGCGCCAGCGTTGTTCTTGCTCTGGCTGATGAGCCTGGCACTGATCAGGCTGGGGTGATGGCAGCACTTCACGCACGGGGTGGTCTCCTCCCCCGGCCCTTGGCTTCTGTCTCAGGCTGAGGATTACAGTCTGGTGTTGCGGAGCCTCCTGGGCCAGGCTTCGGTGCACAGACCCGGCGTGCAGGTAGAGCAGAGGGGCCTCTGGAGAGAGTTACGCAGACATGGCTCAGCTCAGACCAGCCCACCCTGCTGCGACTGAGGGGAGGGGGCTGGGCTGAGCCTCAGCAGGGATGTCTGCAGAGCGCTGGGCCCGGCTGGGCACCTGGCAGAGATGTGCTGGTGCTGTTACAAGGACAGAGGCTTTCTTGCTGCCCTGGCTCCTGTTGCTGAATCACACATGCTCCTTGTCCCTCTTCAGAATAAACTTTGATCCTCTGCCTATGGTGAGCATGAGCTGGGTCGATTCAGTGTGTCCCAGCTGTCACCAGCCTCCCCAGCTTGGCCGGGGGGCGTTTGCCACAGGGAGGGTTTCTTTTCAGTGGAGGCTAATTCCTAAGGTGGGAGATGACCAGCTCTGCTCTTCCCCTGGCTCCTGGGCCCTCACAGGTTCATTAGCTCTGTCCTTAGGGAAGCCCTTTGGGCTGAAATGGGCCAGGATGGGGCTTTCAGGTGAGCATCTGGCCCAGGCTTTGTGCCGGTAGCTGGCCTCGCAGCCAGGGAGCAGAGTGGCGGGGGGGAGCACAGGCAGAGCTGGCTGCATGGTGGAAGGGCAGCAGTGCAACCTACCCCGTCCCTGTGCGTGGCCATCACAGGCCTCGGAAAGGGGTGTTCCAAGAGGCGCTGCCCTGTGGGGGAGCCCTACTTAGCCTGCGCTGGACGTTGGCCTGCTCCCCACAGAGAGGTGCCCCCTGGCCCCGTTCAGAACTTTGGCTGGGTCTGGCTTAATTGTCCCCCTCCGCCTGTGCAGCTACTGCTGGCTCCCCTGGGTGGGAACATGGCCGTCATGCTTTACCCAGCACGTCACCCCCATTCCTGCGTGTTGCCGTGTCCCTCCCAGCCTCTTCCGCCAGCACTGCTGGATTGGAAGTTCCTGGGGCCGGAGCCCAGGTCCTGTTTCCGCAGCACCCCCGGTGCTATAAAACATCCGGGGCCAGTCTGGGGAGCGGCACGTCACAGGCCCCACACTCCGCTGGGACTTGCTTTAGCACCAGCACAGGCACCTAAACCAGCAGCAGCTGCAAAACCTTCTTTCCTGTGTCAGCGTTTCCTCCCTGCCGTCTCAGCAGCTCCGAAGTGTGGAGCCAGCAAAGCGAGGCTGCTGAGGAGATGCTGGGGCGGGAGGGACGCCTCGGAGAGAGGACTTGTGTGGCAAGGCACGTTGTACAGTGTGGCTGTGGGCTGGGCTGTCGATGGCGCCCAATTAGCTACAGACGGGGCAGTGCTCTGATGCAGTGCGAGGTGGCCAGTCCCTGTCTGACCCTGTACATCTCGCACACGCCATGCGAATGGGTCTAACAATAGCCCTGCTCGCCCAGGGCCTGGGTGTGAGTGATTATCCCTGCACAAGACGAGACGTTCTCAGGGCCCTTTTATCACCAGCCCGTCCCTTCAAGTGAGCAGCTCCCCAAAGCCCCTTTACTTGTTTGGCTTGACATAAATCGCCCATGCTCCCCGGGGGAGGCGCTGGCTCCGGCTGTTCCCACCACTCCTGCGCTGTCTAGCAGCGGGACCCACAGCACAGCAAAAGCTGTGAAGTCAGTAGCTGTATGTCAAGGCAAGTACCTGGGCCCTGGACAAAGAGCAGGCGCAAGCGCTGAGCCCCCCAGGCTAGGATAGAGCTCGTTTCCTCAGGAGAGTCCTGACTACAGGCCCGAAGGGCCCAGCGTGGGTGACTGAGTTTCTGAAGAACGTCCTAAGGGGGGGAGGCCGGGCTCTGCAGAAAGCCTGGCAGTGGCAAAGGGGCTGAGATGCCACATGAACACTGAGCCCAAGCCAGGTCTGGTAGCCCTGGGGCTCCGGTAGGGAGGGAGGGTTTCAGTGTGGCCCCTGGGGGATTGACTGGCCAGCAGGGTAGACCCTTGCACCCTGCCTTCGCGGAGCACCGTCCGGCTCACAGGTGGTGCTGCTTGGGGCAGGTTGCCTGATGGTGAGAGAGGTACTGGGTGGGACATGATGGACAGAGCCTTCTGACATGGGGGCAAGGGCTTTTTCCCTGACTAAGCTGTTACCTAGAGATGTGCTGGGCCCGGCAGGCCCTTGGAGAGGGGGATGAGCAGCTAACTTGAGGGGCCAGGCCATGGCACAGAGTACAGTGCAGGCACTAGGCCCCGGCATCCATGGAGGAACTGCTAGTCATCCGAGACAGTGCCCAGGCGTTAGCCAGGTGCCCTGCAGAGCTGAGCAGAGGCAGTGAAAAAGGCAGCTCATTGATTTGCACTGCTCAAATACAGACACACCCTGTTGGTCCCTTCATTCCCCGTGAAATCTCTGGTGCCTGGTCTGCACTAGGGGATGAGTTTGAATTTAGATCTGCAGCTTCAGCTACCTTAATTGTGTAGCTTAAGTCGAAGTATCTCAAGTTTGGTGCAGTCCACACTGGGAGTACACTCTCCAACGTCCCTTACTCCTTGTAGCAGCAGGACGACCGGCATCAATGGGAGCACACCCTCAGTTCGAATTAGTGCGTCTTCACTAGACCTACTAATGCAAATCCTGGGAGATTGACTGTGGCTGCTTCTACCTTATCTGTAGTGTAGATGTGGCCTGGATGATTGCTCCCCACCATTGGCTATGACACACAGGGTGCGTCTACACAGCGCCCTTACCTCAAAAGAAGCTAAGCAATTTGTGCTACACAAATTGCATAGCTTATTTCAAGGTAATTTCAATATAAAGTGCTATTCTGACAAATCCCTTAACCCTCATGGGCTACGTCTAGACTGGCAAGATTTTCTGGAAATGCTTTTAACGGAAAAGTTTTCCGCTAAAAGCATTTTTGGATCAGAGCATCTAAATTGGCACGGACGCTTTTCTGCAAAAGCACTTTTTGCGGAAAAGCATCCGTGGCCAATCTAGACGCGCTTTTCCGCAAAAAAGCCCCGATTGCCATTTTTGTGATTAGGGCTCTTTTCTGGAAAACAAATCTCAGCTGTCTACACTGGCCCTTTTGCCCGAATGGGAGCAGCGTAGCATTTCCGCAAAAAGCAATGATGTCTTACAGTAGGAAGTCAGTGCTTTTGCGGAAATTCGAGCGGCCAGTGTAGACAGCTGGCAAGTTTTTCCAGAAAAGCGGCTGATTTTCCGGAAAAACTGGCCAGTCTAGACACAGCTGTGGAAGGTTACAGGGATGCCAGAATAGCGTGCCCATTATTTCAAAATATATTTTGAAATAATGGGCGTATTTTAAGACACAGAATTGCTATTTCGGGATACTTTTGGTATCCTGAAATAGCGCCACTGTGTAGCCACATTGCCTCAGCAGCTCAGAGAAACAGCCTGAGGGAAGGACTTTTCACAGCAGGATGGTTGGCCCCATGTTGGATTATCATGGGAAAGGGGGAATTCTGACATTCTCCCCACACCAGCTTTCACTTTAGAATCTTTGTTTGCGGGGAGGGGGGAATGAGTCTAGAAGTATATTTGTTAGTCTCTAAGGTGACACAGGACTAGTTTTTAAAGTTACAGACCTAACATGGCTCCCCCTCTGAAACGTTTACAATGTGCTGAGCTGCTGCACTGTCCCCGTGCCCTAGGGAGAACGCTAACGTGCAACAAGTGTCTTTCCACTCCCAGGACAGTACCACCCACTTGGAGGGGCCGGGATCACAACACGATGCAGAGTAAGCAGGGTCTGAATCAATGCTTCCATTGCAGCCAGCTGGAATGGGAGAGGCATTCTGAGTGTGGTTTTGTCCAGTCTGTTGCCAACTGTTATGTAAATACAATTCACACTGGAATGGGAAAGAAATCCTGGGTGTGGTTATGTACCTATAGGTGCTTGGGCCTGCTAAATATTCAATTGTTAGAATGGTGTTTTGCCCATTGTAACCAATTTGGGTGTTGTGAGGTCACAAACCATGTTAACCCTAAATG